TATATACATATATATATACATATAAAAATAAACTACTACTTGTACTACAATTCCTACTTTGCGGTTTTTCACTTATGGTGGGTCTTCAGGGTACAGATCCCCTGTGATAAACGACGGACTACTGTACTTTAAATTCTAGCAGTTGTAAGGATATTTGTTTTAGTTGTGTTATAAAATTATCAAATTACTTGTGACTTGACATTTTTACCAGACTTTCCAGAGGTTCAGTCTTTGATCAGTGAAGTCACTGTTGTTTGGTTGTAGGTTTCTGTCTGGTTGTACGGTCCTCCTCCATGGTCCTGCAGGCAGTGGGAAGACGACTGTGGTCGGAGCGGCGTGTCGCAGACTGAACCTCCACCTGCTGAAGGTGCAACTGCAATTATAAAATCAATACATTAATACAGTGGAGTGTAGGAAGTGTGCTCATGTGTCTGTGTTCAGTTGCAGCTTGCAGCAGTCATGCGTCCTTGTTCTGTGTAGGTGGACTGTGTGACCATGTGTGCAGACACCCCTGCAGCCTCGGAGGCGAAGCTGAAGTCGGTGTTCCAGCGAGCAGACGCTCTTCAGCCCTGCGTCCTGCTGCTCAGAAACTTGCAGCTTCTGCTCCGAGCTCGAGGGCCTCCTGAAGACAACGGCAGGGTCCAGGCGATGCTCTGCCAGCTGCTCAGCAGTGTTCCCACCAAGTCAGTGAACCACCTATAAACCTAATGAAAAACACTAAGCACATCTTCATAACATCTGGCTCTGCATTGCACGGCCTCTGCAACTGTCCTTTTCAGGTCACATGACATGAGTTTGTCTGGTTTCTTTTGAATCCATTTATGTAGAAGCTGCAGTGATCAAACAAGATGACCAGTCATATGTTTACATGGACATAAGTAATCGTATTAAACGACCATTTGGAATAAAAATGCATCATGTAAACGCCCCATTCGGATTATTTTTTGTTGATTCAGCTCAATCTGAATGAGACGGGTGGTTTATGCTGATTCATAATCCGAACGGTGTGCATGTAAACACTTAATCTGATCATGTTATTCCAGTTGTGGAAAACTGACGTGACTGCGACTTGTCAACCTCACGTATTTCCACCTGGTTAGATGATATCATGTCGGGGAAGCAAAACTGGTCTGTGAGCGACACAACATTTCTACTAGAAACTCTGAAAGAGCTCAAAATGATCTGCATCACCTGTAGCTCAGTCAGGGAGTGCAGCTACGTCTCCACCGTCATTAAAACCTGTCGCGGGTCCATTTTGAGAGTTCAGATTTGTTTACGTTCATCACAGAAGTTGAACTTGTTCTTCTGGGGGGGGGGGGTTAAGGAAAAAGCCCACTGCATGTAAACGCTCGTCGTGAACAGATTGTGCTCATGTAAACGATACATTTGGATTATTTAATCTGAATACATTTCATTCTGATCAAAGAATTTTGCACATGCGAACATAGCTACACATCAGATTTCAAACAACACATTTGTTGTAAAACATTACAAACTACAGTATCATCCTTAGCTAATGATGCAGCGTCCCCTCAGTGTGGACTGAAATCGGCCAAAAGGCCTTCTCCTACTCTGCTCCTGTATCCTGAACCACCTGGCAACAAGATCTGAAGCTGTCCACTTTAACCTGCAAGGGATTTTTTAAAATGCAGACATGCTCCTGTTTTTAGTATTTTACCTCGTTTCATAACGTAGCTTGATTTTATTTAGTTTTATATACCATATCATACCATTTTATTTATAGAGCACTTAAAACGGCGACAAGACCAACCAAAGTGCTGTACAGACAGAAAAACAGGCAACACACAAAGCAATATACAAAATGAAGTAAATCAAAATATAGACATAAAAACGTATTCACTACTTTTATTTACTTTTCATTCTATATGCTTTTTATGACTGCTTACTGTTGTTGTGCTCTGTGTTGTAAATGAGTCCTCGTGACTCAATGAGACTAACTTGTATAAATAAAGGTTGAATGAATGTATATTTTATAATGAACACTGTTGTTGCAGACAGTGGGGGAATAACAGCTCACATTATGAGTCTGATGACATGTTGGAGCTAACATTCCTTAAAGAAATACATTCAGTTTGCTGCTTTTCATGACAAACTTTTTTTACCCATATCTTAGTTTAGGCAGAAATCACCATTTTAACTTCTTCTACCCTGCAGTCTGTGCTCATTTCGACTTACTTACAAATGTACCTTACGCTGAGTAGGAGACAAATGAACCATTATGCAACTGTATTTCTCCTCACGGCATCCAGATGATCAGTCAAACATGTCTGATGTGGATCAGGTTAGCTTTTACATTCTCTGTGTAACCTTTCTCCTCTGTGTGTCTCAGTGTGGTCGTTGTGGCGACGGTTTGCAGAGCTCAGGATCTCTCAGCTGGTGTCATGGGGGCATTTATCCACCAGGTAGAGCTGGAATGTCCCACAGAAGAGCAGCGGTGCTCCATGTTGGTCAGCCTGAGTCAGGACCTTCATCTGGGCAGAGACGTCAACCTGGAGAGACTCTCCAAACTCACCGCAGTATGCTGGGTCTTTGTTTTATCTTATTTTTTCCTCTAATTAAGGAGAACTTCTGGACTTTTAGTCCTGATTAGAACACTTGTTGTTGAGGGCCGGATGTTCCTGTGGTTAAATTAGCACTTTAATATTTTTACACACTATAAAACATTTGAGTGTAAAGAACATATATCTGTGAGATATTATTCATAAATTAAACGGATTCTTTCATTTTTCTGGACTGAGTTCTATCGTGCATTGAATAATTAAATGTGACGTGAGACGTTAATTTTCTTTGACCCATCAAAATGAATGCGGTCATTTATTAACAGAATCAAAGTTTAACATCAAACATTTACATTAATTTGGCAACATTGATTTCAACCACAGCTTAATTAATTAGCTTTACAATCAGAAACCATACGGCCATGGTATCTGGGTCAGCTTTACAACAGACATTTCTGAAAATATCTGGATTAATTACTGGCAGATAGAAGAGTTTTAAAGATGGGAAATGAGGGAGTTTAAATGGAGAGAGATGGGTGAAGATGTATGTGTCTGTATAAGATGTAGGTCTGTAGACCAGAACGACAACACGCTCCTTTGGACCCAGCTTATCCCACGGTACACTTTGGTTGAGATCGACTCTTTACCTTTGCAGATGATAGTTTCGGCGTCGGTGTAGAGTTTCCTTTCAACTCTTTCCAGCGTCTCCGTAAGAACAGCTAAAACCTCAGGAGTCGTGAGTTCATCCCAGAACAGACTTCTTCATTGTTCCTCTGAACTTCTCTCGTTCAGGGACTTCTCGTTCGAGGTCCTCCCTGGAACGTTGTTCAGCTTAGTTCCCGTTGTTCTCCAGCATTCCAGCATTCTGAACTCTGCTGCTCTCTGAAAACTAGGAAGTGTTGACCCTTTTAAAGAGTTCAGTTCCGGTTCCTCTGAGAACTTCCTGATTGGTCGAAACGAACCAACAGGGTGTGGTTTTAGTGATGTAAGAGGTTATTAAAAGTCAAGGAGAAAGATTGGATTGTTTAAGAACAGACAGAAAGATGTTTTGAAGAAACAGAGACTTTTGGAGCCAGTTCTCCCATATCTGTCTGGAAAAGTTAAACATGACATTTCTTTCCAGTAAACATGTTGTTGACCGAAACTTGACTTTTGACCGACTTACAACTTGCTCATTTCAGACAGAAAATCAAAATGCATAATTACTCTTGTAACAAACATTAACTTGATTTCTACTTTGAATGAGGATTAAAAATCATTTATACTGTTTCACAGTTGATTTAAAATGAGTAGTTCACTTCAACATTTAAAATGGTTTGAACTAAACACACTTTTGATTATCAAGATATTGTAAAATAGTAATGATAATAAAAAAAGAGAGTGTTCTTTCAATTAATCAGTGCAGGACACACTTAGAAAGTCTCTGGATGAACTTAATTTTGTGTTTCTGGACTCAAATCAATGAAATGACGGTTCTTGTCCCAGGAAGGCCCTCAGGGGCAGATTTGACCTGAGGCTTAGTTCACTACATGAGTGTGATAAATATCTACAGTTAGAAGTCTTTATCTCATTGAGGTTAATAAAAAAATAACTTTCTCATTTAGCAGTTCATTTGGGACATAAAAGCATTTTGTGATGAAATAATTGTAAAAGGTGACATCTATTCTGCATTCTTCAGTTTTGTATTTAAATAAAATCAATGTACATTTAAATGTTAAAAGTTCAGTGCCCTGAGATGACTTTTTTTGTGACTTGGCACTATATAAATAAACTGAATTGAACTGAATGGAATATGAAACATCCATCCATCCATTATCTTTACCTGCTTATTCCATTTTGGGTCACGGGGGTCGTCGGTGCTCATGTCCAGCAATCACTGTGCGAGGGGTGGGGTACACCCTGGACAGGTCTCCAGTCCATCACAGGGACACATAGAGACAAATGAGACAACCATTCACTCTCTCACTCACACCTAGGGACAATTTAGAGTTACCAATCAGCCTAACATGCATGTTTTTGGTCTGTGGGAGGAAACCGGAGTACCCAGAGAAAACCCACGCATGCACGGAGAGAACATGCAAACTCCACCCAGAAAGGCCCCTGGACTGGGGTTTGAACCAGGGACCTGCTCGCTGAGAGGCAGCAGCTCTACCAGTTGCGCCACCGTGCTGCGGAATATAAAACAGAACAAGCTAAATTAAATATCCAGTGTGTTGACTACAGCGCCAAATAGTGGCACAAATTATGAATTGTAACTAACTGAATTCTAAAGTGCAGTTTTTCAGAGATGGCAGTGATATTTATTTACACTGAGTTACATACTGAACGTGAAGGTCAGAACAGATACATATATATATATCCACGATTCATTTCTGTGTCTGTAGCAACGTGATGGTGATGGAATCGGTAAAACATTTTTTATCCATTCTTTCCCTTTGCGTTTCCTCTTCAGGGCTTTGTGTTGGGGGATCTGAGTGTTCTGTTAGCTGAAGCTGGAAGATCTGCCTGCAGGAGATTGATTAGCACCTGGTGAGTCTCTGAAACTGAACAAGAGACCTTTAAAAGATTTCTGACATATACAGACAGGGTTCAGGAAATCAAGGAACACCTGATTTGGTGTTCAAAAGATGATCTCTCTGGACTTGTATTGATTCTAGTGCGAGTCCATGTGTTTCTACAGTGTAAACAGGACTTGTAACTTTACTGATTGCTATAGTGGCTTTTTAGTATCTAATGTCATACAATATAAATAATTATTAAGAACCTATGCAATTTGCGCGTACCATAGGCTACAGTAACGGTCATCTCTGACTGGGACTGCCCACAACCTAAGGCACCAAGTTCTGAGTGTTTTATGTGACTCAAATATCTCCTGGAATTTCAGGATTTACTTAGAGATGTTTGTTTTCACGAAATGCTGGAAACCTTGCACAGACTAATCGTGCATGTGTAGAAAGTAGAGCCCAACTGATATGGAAATTTTGTTTATCGCCGATACCGATATTGTGAGGTGACGGCTAGTGCTGATAACCGATGTATTGGCTGAAAATATTTAAGCTTTGTCAACCCTGAAGAATCCAAGTAAACATGCGTTCACATTTTCTGTCCTCCACTATTCACCATAAAGTTATCAAGTGTGTTACAAAATTATAAATTAAACCCATTTGTTTGCAGAGGAGTAAATATTTCAGACAAACAATTCATTTCATTGAGGACGACGAAGATAATATTACTAACACTAATTTATTTTACCTCTATGTTAGATTTATTGTTCCGGATAAAGTTTACAAGGCTACTAATGGAAAGTGGGTTAGAGGACTGAAGACAATTTATTATTATTGATTTTTAATTTTACCAATCAATTACAATAAACTTACCGTGCTCTGTTGAGCAAAATATTCTTCACAGTATTGCTCACTGCTTTGGCTGTGCAGCGCGGCCATGACTTGAAAGTAGTTTGCGTGCTCCCTCTGCTGGATACATTGTACACGCCAGTGGCATGTAAGGACATGGCTGGTTCCCAGCATGTTAGGGGTGGAAATTAGAAGTGTTTATATCGGCGCATAATGGGACAATTATCACCGATTCCGATATTTTCCCAAACGTCTATATTGTCCTAAAATATCGGTCCTACTGATGTACAGTCGGGCTCTAGGTTTGAGTCCAAGTTTGTTTTAATTAAGGCACATTGTAGCACAAAGTATTAAATAGCAACTTTTCCAACAAACAGTCAAAGTACCTCAGAGGCTCAGATAAAGGGACATGATACTACAATCCCAAGGCTTTAGGAGACAGGAAATACCAGAACTTGGAAAAGATTTGTAATTGAATAAAGGAAGGTTGGACAAATCAGATTTAGTATTTTCAATAGAAGTTTCAATTACTAGACTGTAACTGAAAAACCTCCACATTATTTAATATGTGACGTGTGTCACATACTTGTAAAATAGTGGTTGTAGCTAGTCGACACCTGACTGTCACCCAGATAATGGGGCAGCAAAACGGCACAGAATGTGCTTCAGCTCAGTGACTGGTCTCAGAGTTGTGTTGTTCGTGCAGTGGTGGCCAGCGCCAGGAGGACCTGTGTTCCAGTGGAGTGACCATCATGAACCAAGACTTCACCTGTGCCCTGGAGACCCTGCAAGACGCCCATTCCAAAGCCATCGGAGCCCCCAAGGTGACACACACGCCTCATAATGAGACTTTAAAGAGTTTTGTTGTAAATAAAAACACTTCTCCTGTAAGATGCAGTTGAGGGTGTCTGTGCATAAACTCTGAAGAGTTTTTCCTATTATTGTTTCAATTTTATTTTGTTTCCGTCCTGATTTTTCATTTGCTACTAAAAAAAAATCTTATCTGATGGGAAATTGTCAAAACAATGGGATTTTGAGTTATGGTTTTCTCTTAAATCCCCTCCGACTTCAGAGCGTGCACATCCGATCTCAATGTTCCCTCTAACTGTTCATGTGTCTGGACAAACACACAAGCTCCCTGAGCTCTGAGCATCCCTCTGCATCCTCTGTCCACACTCCAACTACCTCCATGTCCTCTCTAACTGCATCCATATATCTCCTCTTTGTCTTTTTCCTGGCAGCTGCATTTCTAACATCCTTCTACCAGTATACCCACTGTCCCTCCTCTGGACATGTCCAAACCATCTCCCAGTTGTTCAACCTGTGCTGTACCTCTGATGATCTCATTCCTAATCTTATCCATCTTTGTCACTCATAAGGAGAACCTCAACATCTTCATTTCTCCCATGTCCAGTTTTGTCTCCTGACTTTTTGTCCATGTCTCTGTTTCCAGACCATACAACACAGCTGGTCTCACCACTGTTTGTAAACTTTTCCTTTGACCGTCCAGATACAGTGCCTTGCGTTAATACTTTGTAGCTCCGCCTTTTGCTGCAGTTCCAGCTGCAGTTCCAGCTGCAAGTCTCTTGGGGTTTGTCTCCATCAGTTTTGAACATGGAGAGACTGAAATTCTGCCCATTCTTCCTGCAAAACAGCTCGAGCTCAGTGAGGTTGGATGGAGAGCGTTTGTGAACAGCAGTCTTCAGCTCTTTCCACAGATTCTCGATTGGATTCAGGTCTGGACTTTGACTTGACCATTCCAACACCTGGATACGTTTATTTGTGAACCATTCCATTGTAGATGTGTCTTTATGTTTTGGATCATCGTCTTGTTGGAAGATAAATCTCCGTCCCAGTCTCAGGTCTCTTGCAGACTCAAACAGGTTTTCTTCCAGAATGGTCCTGTATTTGGCCCCATCCATCTTCCCATCAATTCTGACCATCTTCCCTGTCCCTGCTGACAAAAAGCAGGCCCAAACCATGATGCTGCCACCACCATGTTTGACAGTGGGGATGGTGTGTTCAGGGTGATGAGCTGTGTTGCTTTTAAGCCAAACATATCATTTTGCATTGTGGTCAAACAGTTGGATTTTGGTTTCATGTGACCAGAGCAGCTTCTTCCACATGTTTGGTGTCTCCCAGGTGTCAAACTTTAAACAACTTTTTATGGATATCTTTGAGAAATGGCTTTCTTCTTGCCACTCTTCCATAAAGGCCAGATTTGTGCAGTGTACGACTGATTGTTGTCCTATGGACAGACTCTCCCACCTCAGCTGTAGATCTCTGCAGTTCATCCAGAGTGATCATGGGCCTCTTGGCTGCATCTCTGATCAGTCTTCTCCTTGTACAAGATGAAAGTTTAGAGGGACGGCCGGGTCTTGGTAGATCTGCAGTGGTCTCATACTCCTTCCATTTCAATATGATTGCTTGCACAGTGCTCCTTGGGATGTTTAAAGCTTGGGAAATCTTTTTGTATCCAAATCCGGCTTTAAACTTCTCCACAACAGTACCTCGGACCTGCCTGGTGTGTTCCTTGGTCTTCATGATGCTCTCTGCACTTTGAACAGAACCCTGAGACTATCACAGAGCAGGTGCATTTATACAGAGACTTGATTACACACAGGTGGATTCTATTTATCATCCTCAGTCATTTGGGACAACATTGGATCATTCATAGATCCTCACTGAACTTCTGGAGTGAGTTTGCTGCACTGAAAGTAAAGGGGCCCAATAATATTGCACGCCCCACTTTTCAGTTTTTTATTTGTTAAGAAAGTTTGACACATCCAATAAATTTCATTCCACTTCATGATTGTGTCCCACTTGTTGTTGATTCTTCACAAACAATTAAAATTTTATATCTTTATGTTTGAAGCCTGAAATGTGGCAAAAGGTTAAAGTTCAAGGGGCTGAATACTTTCGCAAGGCACTGTGTACACCGAGTACTACTGTTTGCTAACACTTAGCATGATAAAACCGGCTACAAGTCATGGGATTAACTTACTGTCTTTGTTTGATGTCGTTCGACCGTAAACTTCTGTGATAAATCCAAAACGCCAAATATTATTCCTCTCTATGAGATGAAATATAAAGCTTGGAAAAGCGCTAGAAGCCAAGGAGGTTTGTAGCTACATAGCTTCTTCAGACGTAACGCAAAAACTCCAGAAGACGCTGACTGGCTGGACTGAAAGTTTCCCTGTGATTTCATTGGTTCAAACTTTGTAAACTTCCGTTTTCACTAGACAAATCACGTGCCACAGGTCTGTTTTGACCAGGGGGGGGGGTTTCTCCCTCCACTCTGAATGCACTTCAGACAGGTTGTAGAGACCGCTGCGCTCTTCTATGACGTCATACTCTTCTTGTGCGCAGAGCATGTGCGAGCAGTGCGTGATTGCGCAGGCGTGCAGCTTAGAGGGATCATCGGTTTTTCTTCAGAACTGTCGGAGAAGGATCTTTTTAGCTCGTCCTGTTTTCTTTACAAGTCACTGCTGAGTCAAAAAGCTCGTGACGACCTGAGTGATGCTTCTGCTGCTTTCACCTCAGAGTATTTTTATTCCCAACACAAGTTAATTTTCACACAGTGACTCATTTATTTTCTTCTCTACCTTTCTGTCTGCCTGGCTTAGTAAAAGTGCTGACATGAATCGAGAGGCGCGGGCGTCTGGTTACCATGGTAACCCTAATGAGTCACCAACAGCTTTAACATTTTATTTGATCTTGGTTTTCTTTACACTTTTTTTTTACAGTTTGTTAAAATGTCTGTGTTTTTTTAGCTTGGGGTGAAAAGTAAATTCTAAATGAATGTTGGGTTCTAGAGAAGAAAGTTGATGTTGGTTGGGGTTTCAGGCAGTTCCTGCACTCAGCAGGTCTTCATAAATGTTCTCTGTGTGTTTAGTTGTTGAGTCCTCGGCTGGTTGTAACCAACACAGCTCATGGTTATGTGTGTCGGCAGATCCCTAGCGTGCGCTGGGAGGACGTGGGCGGTTTAGAGAGCGTAAAGAAAGAGATCCTGGACACGATTCAGCTTCCTCTGCAGCGTCCTGAGCTCTTGTCTTTGTGTCTGAACCGGACTGGAGTCCTGCTATATGGACCACCGGGGACAGGAAAGACTCTGTTGGCTAAAGCTGTGGCCACCGAGTGCTCCATGACCTTCCTCAGGTGGGTTTGTGTTTTTAAAAACATCAAAAGGCATCAAACGTGTATGAAGGTGGGAGATTTCACAGCATCTGGAGTTCTGGTCTTTCACGACTAAAGCTTTGTGAACGTTGTGATGTTTTTTTTTTACCTGCCCATGATTTTCTGTTTCAGTGTCAAAGGTCCAGAGCTCATCAACATGTATGTGGGTCAAAGTGAAGAAAACATCAGAGAAGGTTTGTGACACATCGTACGTTTTATTTCTGTTGTGTTTTCCTCTTTCATTCCGTTCTTATTACAGAAAACAACTGGAGTTCAATTAAAAACGGGAACGTGAGCAGAATGACAAAGCACAACATTAGGAAAGTGAACGTCAAGAGACTGACAAAAAGATAAAGATACATATTCTGATTGTTTCTTTTGTTTTAACTTGGACATTTAGTCATTAAACTTTCCATCGAATTAAGAACTAACTAACATTTTTTATCGGTTGTGCTTTGGATCATTTGTTTGGACTTCAAGTTTCTCCTCCGTGTGTATTCCTGCTTTTTTGTCCTTCGTTTAATCTGATCGTGTTGTTCCACCATAAATAATGGGAAGCTGTGGCTGAGTGGTTAGAACAGTTGTCCTACAGTGGGAGAGTTGGGGGTTTGATTCCACCAGCAGTCACATGCTGAAGTGTCCCTGGGCAAGACACTGAACCCCTCATGGCCTCTGATGTGTCCCATCAGTGTATGAACGTGATAAAGCTCTGATTAGTCTCTGCATAGATCTAGTAGAGAGCTGTATGGATGTGTGTGGAGGTAAATGAGGCACAGATTGTTGTAAAGAGCTTTAAGTGTCTTGAGTAAATAGAAAGGTGCTGTGTAAGTGCGGTCCAGTCATCATGAGTTAACTGATGTGGATGTTGTGCAGTGTTCCACAGAGCGCGCTCAGCAGCTCCATGTGTTGTCTTCTTCGATGAACTGGACTCTCTGGCCCCAAACAGGGGACGCAGTGGAGACTCTGGAGGAGTGATGGACAGGTGAGGGCTTACATGCTCTGATTCCTGGTCAGATGAAATTATCCAGAGCTCTAAATGTTCTCATGCTGGATTTTACAACAACCTAAGCTCCCGATCCAACAATTTTCAGTCAGGTCAACTGGACAGTTTCTTTTTTTTTTGTGCTGAGACATTTCACCTTCTATCCAGAAGGCTTCATCAGTCAAGGAAAAACACAACACAAAACTGATTCTTCCCCCAACAGCTTACTCCAAAAGTGGAACAAACCAGTTATGTTGGTGCTAAGATGGTCTCTTTGGCACGCCCCCTTCTCCGGTGCCAGTCCTCTTCCTCATGCTGAGACATTTCACCTTAGACGAGGGAGAGGGCCAGCACCGGAGGAGGGGGCGTGCCAAAGAGACCATCTTAGCACCAACATAACTGGTTTGTTTCACTTTGGAGTAAGCTGTTGGGGGAAGTATCAGTTTTGCTGTGTGTTTCCTTGACTGATGAAGCCTTCTGGATGGAAGATGAAATGTTTCAGCAAAAGAAAAAAGAGAAGAAACTGTCCAGATGACCTGACGGAAAATTGTTGGATTGTACACCTGGATTATTGAGCATGGACTTTGTTGGCTAAGCTCCCAAACTTTGTCTTTCAAATTAAACCGTTTTCTTTTGGTCCTTTGTAGTGAATCACGTTTATTTAACTGCATGAATTTTCAGCCTCCGCAGTGTTTTAAACCTTGAGCTGGATCTTTCTGCGCAGAGTGGTGTCCCAGCTGCTGGCTGAGCTCGACACGCTGCACTCGTCTGCCGCGGTTTTTGTGATCGGAGCCACAAACCGTCCTGACCTGCTGGACCAGTCACTGCTCAGGCCGGGCAGGTTTGAAACCTCTCACACACACAAACACACACGTGACGTTTCTGTCACTTCAGAGGATGCTACACTGCCTCACATGAGGAGCTATAGACATGGATTACTAAAGGGATAACGTTACCACACCATCTTTATTTATAAAGCACTACAGAAGCAAAGATCTGTGCAGTTCCAGTCGACAGCATTCACAATGCACAATAAAGACGCACAACACAAATCAACACAGACTTATAATCAAAACAGAAACACAAAATAAAAATATAATCTCAGTTAATGAAGAGATGGTTTTAAGAACAGATTTTAAAACGTACAGGGAAGAGGCCTGTCAGATGCCCATAGGCCGTTCATTCCACGCTTTAGGAGAGCATCTTGATTATATTAATTATTTTTGACAATCATTTCAGAAAGTGAAACTCTCATAGATTCATTGCACAGAGTGAAATATTTCAAGCCTTTCTTTTCATTTTGATGGTTCTGATGAAAAGACAAAACTCAGTGTCTCAGAAACTTAGAACATTGTGAAGAGGTTCAGTGTGTAAACTGCTGATGTCACAGCCTGATCAGCTGATGAACTCCTGGACATGAGCTACAAACGTCTCATTCCTCCAGTCAAACCAGTCCTCAACCAGAGACGACATCAGAAGCATCTTACCTGCTGAGGAGACAAAGAACTGGACTGTTGCTCAATGGTCCAATGTCCTCTTTTCACATTGAAAATTTAGATATCAAGGTCTCAGAATCTGGACGAAGAGTGGAGAGGTCCAGAATCCACGTTGCTTGAAGCCCCGAGAGAAGTTTCCACAATCAGTGATGGTTTGGGTCCATGTCCTGCTGGTGCTGGTCCGCTGGGTTTTCTGAAGTCCACGCAGCATCTAGCAGGACATCTTAGAGACTTCATGCTTCCTTCTGCTCATTTTCCAGCAGGACTCTGTACCGGCCCACATTGACAAAGGTACCAGAACCTGGTTGTGGAGTATTCTCATTTTCTGAGACCGTTTTGGTTTTTCATCGTCTGTAAGCCGTAGTCATCAAAATTACAAGAAATAAAGGCTTGAAATATTTATGAATCTATATAATCTATCTATCGGGGCCCGAGATGGGATAGAGGCAGGGCAGCCAACTTGGGACCAGAAAGTCCCAGGTTCAATCTCCAGCCATTCCCACATGTCACAGTGTCTCTGAGCAAGACGCCTAATCCCTGATTGCTCCCCAGGTGCCTACATAGCTGCCCACTGCTCCACCTGGGTGTATCCCAGGTGTGATGGGTTAAATGCAGAGAACCAGTTGCATCACTGTATGGAAACATACGATGATGACAACACATAGCACTTTGTTTTATTTATTATAATTTTTAGTTTCACTTTCTGAAATTATTGATAAGACATTCAACTTTTTCACAATATTCTAATTTTTGAGATGCACCTTTAGTCATGGGAAACTGCTTCCACAAGTCTTAAAAAAATAAAAACTCCAGTCAAGCCATCCTTTTCATTTATCGGCTTTATCATTTATTCGTTTCTCTCTTTCTACTGAAGACACTGGATGACAAAAGGCTCAACTCCGATGCTCTTCACTGACTCTCCCTTTCTCTTTAAAATCCATTTTAACCGTCCAAAATCGCGTTTTTGGATTGTTAAAAGCAGCTAAGCTGAGAAGATAAGCTACGAGCTAAGCTAACAGGCCGACCTTGGGAAAAAACCTCCATCTTGTCGAAGCTCCAAAAATTCACGGTGGAAACCTGTGCCTTCGTGTAAAAAGTTGTTTTTCTCTGCAAAAAGAAGCAGAGAACTTGTTCACTGATTTTTTTATTAAAAACTGTGTGAAAAATGCTATGCTAAAGAGCTCAAACCACACCGAGCGTCCGCCATTTTGAGAACCAACAAACAGGAACGAGAGACAGCCCATGTCACGTCAAGGGGCCTCCCTCCTGTTTTTTTTTTAAAGAGACACGCTGCTCGCTCCCTCGCTGTCCATCCTTCGGTTCAAACAGTCTTATACTGCCATCCAGTGGTCATAAAAAGGTACTATACACAAAACAAATTAACTAACATTTCATCTTAAATTTGACAATAGTTACTAATTATTGTCAAATTTCAAACAATATTATCATTTATCGCAATAATTTCTGAGACAGTTAATCACTCAGCAAAATTTGCTATTGTGACAGGCCTACTCTGAGATACTCGAGTCTCTGAGACTCATTCCCAAACAAGATGGAGCATTTGACCCTTTTCCATTTGAGAACCACAGTATCAACTTTGAGGAGCTGACTTTCATCCCAGCTGCTTCCCCCTCCGCCGTGAACAGCCCCAGTTCAAGCTGAAGGTCGTGGTCTGAAGACACCATCAGAACCACATGCTCTGCAGAAAGCAGAGACACGGCCCTGAGGTTCCCTAACCAGACACCCTCCTCTCCACAACAGCCCCTGAGATCATGTCTATGAACATGTAAATAAAAACAGAGAAACGTAACAAGTTTCATGATCATAGAGAACAATGAACGCAAAACAAACTAGCTGGGTGTGGGTAGTCTGTCGTAGTGAGATGTGAGTCCTGACTTCAGCAGATGTTTTTTTTACTGGTCTGACTACAATGTTTAATGTTTCTGCACATCTGGACTTGGTCTTGGCAGGTTCGATAAGCTGGTCTACGTTGGAATCAGCGAAGATCAGGTCTCCCAGCTGCAGGTTCTCCAGGCCATCCTCAGAAAGTGAGACCAGATCCCTCAACGTTGAGATTAAAAGCAAAACTACGAAAGAGCAAAGTGGAAAAAAAAACCACATTATGCATTATCTGCTGTCTCCTTTATGAGGCAGGAAAATACACACATTTTGTCAGAAAAGTGTAATTTTGAAGCTTTGAATTTTAAGAGAACATTTCCAAGAATCAAGAACTTGTTTTTGTTTATTTATTGTAAAAACAAACCCAGTATTTTTCTTCTCCAGGTTCCAGTTGGACCCTGCTGTGAAACTGCAGGATGTGGTGAACCGCTGCCCCGGTCACATGACCGGCGCTGATCTGTACGCTCTCTGCTCAGACGCCATGACGGCCGCCATCAAGAGGAAGATCCGTTTCATTAACGATGGTAAAAACCCAACACGCCAGCTGCTACAGGCGGGAAGTTTTAAGTTGGAAATGGTGATGCTGATAAGAGTTGGTGCTGAAGCACTTATAACTCGATTACACAAACAATCTTTTAGGCAAAACCCTTTGGTTTGATTCTGTGTACAGCTTGGACACTGTGATTCACACGGACAGTCAGTCTTTACAGCGAGACCAACAGGTGGACGCAGTTTTATAAAGCATCATAGAAACGTGCTGAGTCATGTGTTCGATGCACGACGGGCTCTAAAAACGTCTAAGAGGTGCGCGTTTATGCACAGATTAATATTAGGCTTTAAGAAGAAATAAACTCCTGCGTTTGAAGTTGACGTACAGCATTTATCACTCTGGCAAAAGGTAGGCGTGTTTTTGCACATATGTATGTGAGTGTGTTTTTGTTAGCAAAATATTGCATAAGCTACTGAATATATTTAATGAAACTTGCTGTGGTTTCTTAGATGAACATCAACAACTGATTACATTTTTGGAGTCAACCAATTCAAAATGGCCGCCACAGACAGCTTTCCTTATACAACAACAATTAGGGTGTAAATCACCAGCTTTACCACGATACGATATTATCAACAAAAAAGGTTGAATCATGTCATCTGGACTTCGTTTTTTTGTTAAAAACAAACGTTTCGCCCCTCATCCAAGAGGCTTCGTCGGTCTGAGGCCTAGCCATCTGGTATTACCCAGAAGCCACCCTGACTCTTGTGTTCCAAGCCTGCCTCAGATACCCCTGAAGTCTGGCCTTTTCACTAATGGTTTCAAAAACACAAAGTTTGTTTTCTCAGTCATCCAGGTATATAACAACAAAAAA